TGGCTGGGAAGGCGGCGTTCGAGGCAGCGATGAACACGCTGGTGACGGTGGGGGCGTACGAAGTGGCAAGTGCTACGCTGGCGGTGGCGTAGGAGATGACCTTAGATCAGGTCTGCGCAGCCTTTTGCTCTTGAACTGAGCCCGGTTGCCGCGCGCAAGCTACTGAAGTGCAAACCCGGGCCACTGGAATGAGTGACTCATTCTAGAAGTGACGACTGCCAATGAGTATGCGCAATTGGAATCGCAGCGCGTAAATTGAAAGAGCAATTGCGAGAAAACGATGGACTATTCAAACGTACAGTTCAAGTAGCATTACCTTTTCTTTCAAAAATATGTGTAGTCAATGTGAAAAATAACTCTATAAGGAATTAGACATACATATTTGATTTGTATGCCAGTATTATAATTGCTTATGGTGTGTAATTTTTAATTTTTTTGCGATGTAATCGCAAATTTACGCTATAAAAATTATTACAAAATAACCGCAAATCACGGCGGCATGTGGGGTTCTACTATCGAAAAATTGAATAAATATTGTTTCTATTTGCAACTACTTCGTTTAACACGTTGTGTATGCAGAAATCACTTTTGTGGGTTCTTGATAGCGAAGAACTGGTTGTCGGCTTAACGTCTGTCCGCCTCCATGTGGTCAAAGTTAGCACCGAAACAGTTGAGACGGTTTTCCCTCAAATTAATATACCCTGATCGATTTGCACGAACTCGAAAACCTGCGAGTTTGAAATGTATGTTTAGACTTTGGGAGGATCTTTACATATAGACTAGTTGCATTTAAAATTTCCCCAAAAATGTCTGAGCATTTTTTTATTGAAACTTTTCCTCGGTTAGCGTAGATGACGCTTCGAAAATGACGCAGCTCTATTTTGTGTTAAGATTTCAAAGTTCTAATTTTAAATCAAAATCTTTGTACTTCCCTTCCTTTTACATTATGTACTTATATCTTCATATATCCTCCTTGTTTTCATATTTCTTTGTACGTCCTTTGTTTTTCCCTTACGTTCTCGCACGTCTTTATTTGTTTCCTTTCGTCTTCGTACGGCCCTTGTTATCTGAGGTCTTTGTACATGTCTACTGGTTAGTTTCTTGTATACACAGTTGATACAAAGTTCCTCTGAATTTTAGAGAAATTTATTTAATATTATAAACAAGTAATTTGTATTTATTAAACGAAAATACACACTACGGTTATCTCACCTTGAATATACACAAACACCTTTCCCAGATACGTATGGTGAACGACGAGGATCTGTTTTGTTTAAGGTGTGTATGGGGGTATGGATAAGTCTGTATAAGCATGAATACATTTACCCGTGTATTCGCATATATATTCACAAAACTACATTACTTACTGACTGTACTAATACGCAAAAGTATAATGCTTATGATAAACCATCTGCATATTTACCCATATACTCATATACGTTTTTTCATGAATTCGCACGTACCCATGCATACAAATGCAAACTATGACGTTTTCCAATATTTTGGTGGTCCAACGGCCTCAAGACGCTTTAACTGCAATCAAATGTAGCGCCCGCAAGTGGAGGAGTGAGAGTAGTTAGTAAGAGAGCCCTCTAGGAGACGTTGACTGAAGCTGAGGGTAGTGAAAAGTGTAGCGTTGAACGGAAGAATAGTTGAAAATGATTGTCCCGGCCGTGAACGGTGAGAAAACGTAAATACGCCAGCGCTGGTTGAGCTAGCCCTTCTTTTGCTTTTCTTGTTAGAAGTGTTGAGACAGCTCTTGTTGCATTTTTGGTTTGAAGCAGGGCCCGGCAACTCTCTATCAAAATCGAGAATAAAGCAAGAGGATAGGCAAATGCTCTATAGGATGCGCTACTGTCGCCGAATACTGCTGCTAAGGCTCGCCAACTTTCGCACGTAAAAAGCGGTCAAGAAATACGAATACACTTTGATTACGAGCGATTTGTGAAATAAATTACATAAGAAGATAAATACGATGTATTTATCTTCTAAAATTCCTTTATTCATAATAATACACCCATGAAAGAAAAGGTAGCGCGAACAGCGGCCCGATCTTTTGTATCAAGCGCGTGTTTGCGTCTCAGGAACCCACGCGCGTTTTAAATAACGTTGGTAGCAATTCGTATTTTATAGGTCGTGTAAGAAGGTTCGTGTAAAATGCTCTAGAGTGCGCCACTGTAATGGTCCCCACGACGTTACATGGGAGTCATAGGGCCCTGGTTTGAAGAGTCTTCAGTCAAGTACATTCAGTAACTGTGAGACGACGAACAGGTGAGAGCAGAACACGCGAGTAAACAGATCGTAAATTTTCAGCCGCATAGATGAGGTTCAGCCGTCTTCGCTACGTGTTGGACGTCCGCGAACAGAGCAGCCGCTCGAGAGCCGATGGTGGTCGAGGTCAGCCCACCGAACGAAATATCCCACGGACACGAGGTGCAAGGTAACCAGTAAACACTTTGTAATGAAAACATAGACGAGTCTCCGGGGAAGGTTATGGTTAGTGATTGCAAAACTGACCATTTCAAAGAAAAAAAAACGTGTATTAGCAAATATTGTTAAGTGTGAATTGCTAGAAATTTTACAATAGCGAATATTGAAACGAAAAAAGCTCGTTATATGAATGTTTGCCTTGTGCAAAGTTGTTAGCATTTCTAGTGCAGTTATAATTTCCAAAAGTCTTGTGTTTGATTTTGGTTTTGTTTTTATACCTACTGTTGTAAATACCAGTAATTTTGTGAAAGTAATGTGGTATAGTTGAAAGTTATGTATTAGACAGAGCACAGCCTTTCGAGTTAATTAAATTAATGAAAGCAGAATCAAACAACCGTGGACGGGCAAGGAAAAGTTTTGTTTTCACGAGTAAACTTGTCAGTTTGGTTGATTTTGAAATAATTTCAGAATACACATTATTATTGTTCATTTGATTTTGAGTGCGATTTGTAAAGATAACTTCTCACCGTGCTCCTGAGAAAACTCGATTTCTCTCACTAGATAAGTGGCAAGTCACATATCGGAGTAACTAAGTAACGTTACTTCCCTGGCGCCCAGCTTATGGTGAGCGATAAAATATAGAATAAATACTTTAAATTATTTCTGCAATTTTGTTTGTATTTTTTATTTTAGACAGTGTATTCTTGTATGTGAAATATAGTGTAGATTGTAGTGTTAGTATTGTAAATTGTATAGTGCATGTGTGGTGACGAAATAGCAGAGAGTAGAGAGGTTAAAGTATCTAAGGCAGAGATAAGGAATATTGAAGCAAGTAAGGGGGAGGATAGAGATGAACTTCTTAGCAGAATAGAAATGATAAAAATAGGAGATGGGGAGGGAGTAGCAGGTCATACGACGCGAACGGAACCTGAAGAGACGATGTACAAGGAGGGGCTGAGAAAATCAAACGAAGGAAGGTTGAATGATGTAATTTGTTGCTCTGGCTCGAGTGGAGAAAGTGAGGTGCAGAGAGAATAGAGTTGATTCGATGTGGTTTGGTGTGGGTAATAGTTAGTAACTGAGAAAGTGGGAGAATACGAAACAGGGCTATTTTGATGGGCGCGTTACAAGATTAAGATGATTTTGTGAATACGCAGAACTATAAAATCTAAAAAAAACATTTTGAAAACAAAAAAGGAAAGAGACTAGAGGCTCTGGGACTAAATAATTCAGTAAAATTTTGTTGTTTTGTTAAATAAGAGGACAATTTTTTGACGCTTGGGGTGTTTTCACAGAAGTAATAAGGCCGGGTGATTGGTTTTTAGGAAAAGAACGGCTAATGAAGAGTCGCGGCAGGAAAGTGGCGGAGAATGGTAAAGAGAAGAAATTAATTTGGAGAGAAGAGTGGATAAAGAAAGCCACGGGGTTATCGAAGGGGAAGGTGAGATACAGAAAGGTTAATGTGAAAAACCATGAGTGTGAAATTTTTGAAGTATCCTTCTGCCTTGGAAGTGTAGTGAGAGACGTTCTATATGTTAATTTAGCTCTGATGCAAGAAAATGTGGGAATGAGATATCACGAGAGAAAAAAAAAAATTAACAATCCCTAAAAAGGAAATCTATTTGATTCAGGTACTGGTTTGGTTTGAACTCACAATTTACACCCAATTATCGAAAATGAAAGAAAAAGGTGCTGTTAAAACAAACGAGAGAAGTATTTATGTTTAGAGAGGGGTTTTAGGAAGATATAATAAAACAGAATTTAAAATACGAACGAAAATTGAATCAACGAGGTATGGAAAAGGAGACAGGGAGGTCTGTGTTGAATGACCTAAGAGAAATTTGACAGGTAGTTTCAAACAGCAAGGGTGATTACTTATGTTTTTCGTGCATTTTCAGGAGCGGCAGCAGCAGCTCCGACAATAGAGAGAGAGGCACTGGTGGTCAAAGAAGACCAAATTGAGGGAGTTGTGGCTACAAGACAGTGGTGTATGAGAACTAAGGCTAGGATTATGCGATGAAATGCTCGAAGACTGAAAGAAAACTCAGTTTATGGCCCTTCACTTAAATATAAAAGAAACAACAGAAAAATAAGAGTTGTAGAAAACAGTGAAAAAAGGTAACGTAATAAATTATATAGTCATATTTATATCTTGTACACACTAAACATTTGTTTTTGTGTTTTGGATCAATTGAGCATTAGTTAATTTTGTTAAAGTAGAAGCAGAAAGAAATAATGACTTTAGTAAAAATAATTTTTAAACAGAAATAATAGATAAAAAGGCCTGTAAAAGAAAAATTAAAGGAACTGAAATAATATACGTAGCAAAGGAACAGGTTACTAGAAGAAATGAAAAAGACGGAGTGACTGACGGAGTGACTGACGGAGTGACTGACGGAGTGACTGACGGAGTGACTGACGGAGT